GTAACGTAACGTAACCTAACGTAATGTAACCTAACGTAACGTAACCTAACGTAATGTAACCTAACGTAACGTAACCTAACGTAATGTAACGTAACGTAACCTAACGTAATGTAACCTAACGTAACGTAACGTAATGTAACCTAACGTAATGTAACGTAACGTAATGTAACCTAACGTAATGTAACGTAACGTAACCTAACGTAATGTAACCTAACGTAACGTAACCTAACGTAATGTAACCTAACGTAACGTAACCTAACGTAATGTAACGTAACGTAACCTAACGTAATGTAACCTAACGTAACGTAACCTAACGTAATGTAACCTAACGTAACGTAACCTAACGTAATGTAACGTAACGTAACCTAACGTAATGTAACCTAACGTAACCTAACGTAATGTAACCCTTACATGTATGTGAAGTGTTGTTTTGTATAAAATTGTAATTCTCCTCCCGTTCTTTCTGACCTCTGTGTTTGGAACAGGTTTGAAGGTGGAGGTGACTCACTGCGGCCAGATGAAGAGGAAGTATCGAGTGTGTAACGTCACCCGCCGACCCGCCAGCCACCAAACGTAAACAGCCTCCCCCCCTCACCTGTCTGCAGCTGTTACCTGTCGCTGACGGTGTTCTGCTTCCTCCACAGCTTCCCCTTACAGCTGGAGAATGGACAGGCCATGGAGTGCACGGTGGCTCAGTATTTTAAACAGAAGTACAGCCTGCAGCTGAAGTACCCTCACCTGCCCTGTCTGCAGGTGGGACAGGAGCAGAAACACACCTACCTGCCTCTGGAGGTGAGACCTGAGCACCTGGGACCTCTGCTGCTTGTCCTCTGTGTGTGTGTGTGGAGTTAGTGTGTGTCTCCAGGTGTGCAGCTAACGTTGTGTGTCTCCAGGTGTGTAACATCGTGGCAGGTCAGCGCTGCATCAAGAAGCTGACTGATAACCAGACGTCCACCATGATCAAAGCCACGGCTCGCTCCGCCCCCGACAGGCAGGAGGAGATCAGCAGACTGGTGAGGCTCCAGACCAGCAGCAGACCCTCCCCACTGTGTTCAGGGAGGGGGTCTCTTCAGGTGTGTGTGTGTGTAACCACACAACCTTCCTCTGACCCCCCACAGGTCAAAAGCAACAGCATGGTCGGCGGCCCGGACCCCTACCTGAAGGAGTTTGGCATTGTGGTGCACAACGACATGACGGAGGTGACGGGGCGTGTCCTCCCTGCACCCATGCTGCAGTATGGGGGCCGGGTGAGTACCGACACAGGGAGGGACTGTGGCAGGGTGAGTACYGGGCAGGGGCTGCGCTGGGTGGGGGGTAGCTGGGTGACTGCAGACACACAGGGGGGCTTCCAGTGTGCTGATGTGAAGTTAGCATGGTGCTAATGAGAACACTGGAAGTGTCTCTGTGTTTGTGATGATGTGTGTCTCAGCAGACTGCTCCTTCACCAACAGCACACAGGTGTGGACACAGCTCACCTGACAGACATGAACCAGGCTGAGCCGTGTGTGCAAATATGATCCTTTCATATCTGCAACAGTTACCAGCTGTTTTCAGCTTGTTTCATTCACACCGAGCAAGAACTGCAAACATGGAAGCTGTGAGGTTTTTAAAACCCAGCAGGAGGACGTGGAAGCACAACGTGAGGACACACCTGTGTCACAGGTGTCGCCCCCTGCTGGTCAATAAAAGAAGCTTCAGGTTCTCCTGATTCCTCAGCTGTTGGTGAAAGAAATGAAGCTGCTGAGATTCACCCTCTGAACTTGAAAGCAGCTGTTTGTGGATCTGGTCCTGACAGGATGTGAGTCCAGAGGCTGGTTTCAGGTTCAGGGAGGATGATGTGCTTCTGACAGGAGGAAGATCAGACTGACAGTATTTCTGTAGAGTGAAGATGACTTTATAAAACATCAACTGTCCATCTTTGAAATCTGTTTTATTTCTGTTTTCAGACAGAAAATCAGCTCATAGCTGGATGGAAATCAGCTGCTTTCTATAATAATAAAAACAACAACAATAATAA